CTAGTGATGACTATTATTTAAACAATCATTACTATTATTATTTACACCATCAAACTTCGATTTCGTAACGATGAAAAGAGATACATCCCATAAGCAAGCCATGCTGATAGCAGAGTAGACAGACAAGCGGTTCACCGTTATCACTTATTTGTTTTCACACACTTTCAGGCGATATCGACTGTCAGGCTTCGGAGGTCGAATCAAAGTGTTGTTTTAAACCATCACTATCAAATATCTGTCGTCAGGATTAATGTGACATTCGAGCAACAAGTTTGGCCTTTATAGTCACGGAAGAATGTAAACAAGTCGGATTCCCAAATGGTTATCACCGGAGCTGGAAATGTTTTATATTCACTCTGCTTACAATCATAATTTTTCAGCTCGTTAACGTTATTTAGCTGTGTCCATCACCTTCATTTTGGAGTATTGCACTACTGGATTATTGTTTTGCCCGAACCTAATAGTGTTGTCTTCAGTAAGTGGAAACAGTAGAGAAGTTAAAGTCCTCGGTATTAATATATGGTTAGAGGGGAAGAATTCATACGACCAGTGTAGTTTTCGTATAAGAAATCTGGAATGATAATTAGAGATCGAACTTTCTGTCAAATAGACAGAACATTTGAGTTACCTATTATTGCAGAAGAATGGATTTGTCTACAACATGGTATTACATTAAGAGATAAGAATAATGAATATGAATTACAAGGCAGAAATTGTGAGGTATCGGGAATGAAAGTCATCTACAGTGATGTCATGGTGTTTTAAGAGTATGACATCATAGATGCATCAGAAATGATTTATCGGCGAAAATAAAAAACGCGTCAATATATAAGACAGAAAGTGTCAGAGTGAACAAGATCCAAGGAAGAGTGAAACATGGGGGAAAGAAGAATAACATATGTAGATTAACCGTAGGAAGATGATTACTATAAGCAGAACAGAATCTTGCCATACGAAGCAAGACGGAATCCTATCGAGAATGCAGATTGTAATTACAGTTAATGACCTAGGTAACAAAGTATCAGTATGGACTACCTATTAATGTCAAGGATCTAGTAACAAAAGCCAGACAGGCGTACACTAATCTTAAATCAGTGTGGAGACCTGTAGCACTTATCAAAAAGATCAAGATCCGGATTTCTAAAATTAATATCAAGTCAGTGAGCGTTTTTATACGGTTTGGAGACTTGTCGCGTCATGGAAAGTATTTCCAAATAGATACAACAGTCTGTGATCAACGGCTGTACACAGAAGATCGGATGGCCGATCAGAAAGGGTAATCAACGAGGGACACCAGTAATCAATCAAACAAGAAACTGACTGCCAATAAATATGCAGAAATTAATAGTGAAAGAAAATTGACTGGTAAGTTTTCCATGTTACAATTAACTCCTGAAAGGTTGGTTGTAGCTAAGATTCTCCAGACAAATGTTTTGTGTTCTAGACTGGGGACCACTGACACTGAGTAACAACTGTCGATACTATCTAGTCACTTAGGCTGAGAAGGATTGCAGCCTTATACAATTCCATATGTATCTAAAACCAGCGTGGGCATTAGCAGCTGCCCACAAGTCTTGTTAAGCCAATGAATTCTGAACCACGAGCTTCGAAATATTTAAGTCACTTTTGATAAAGAAGTCGATTTTTAGTCTAACTGTACCTACGTTTTGGCCGTTATTATTGTGTACTAGTTGACATTTACTTGTGAGTATATATTTCTCTCCATGAGGTGTAAAAATGACTCCAAATTACGTGGAGATGAACTGGTTGTGTATAATGAAACAAAACGTGACCACATAGACCATGTATAGGTCATATTAGAGTAGGCATTTAAAAGGAATGTCACTCTGCAGGATAACAAAGTAAGAAATGCAGAAGCCCGACCATTATCCAAGACCACACTGACGATCAAAACTAGTGCAACACTGAAGTCAATAGGACAATTAAGAAAGTTATTGGAGAGAGCAGCACTTTATATGTAGTTTGTCAAAAAGTTAAGCTAGATAATGAAACCTATGGGTAATGCAAGATTGAGTGAATCGGTGCAGTGAACATTTGAACGGATTAAGGAACTCCTTGATCATTGACAGATGATGCTAGAAAGTCCTGTTTGTGAAGCAATTTAGATTTCTCACAGACACAAGTGATTACGACATGGGTGCTGTCCTTCAACAAACGAACTGAGTGGGAGAGAATGCTAGCAGGGTTTTGATACTTGCATAGCTGGAGCATTCTGCAGCAGGGGAGGAGTGTTTGGAAATCATTTGGACTCCAGACGCAAACTGGCAACTAGTCACGACACAGGCCATCAGGAGATACAGTTATATCATTCATGAAGAATTCATACAAGTTCACTTCGTATTGTAGATGGCACTGAAGATGTTGTCTAGATGGAAATCGAAAGCATCTGAATTAGATCGTCCAGGTCAGAGGAAGGGACCACCTCAAATGGAGACCATACGTTAATTGTCGTAAATTTCACACCAAGACCAATCATACAACTCTGAAGTGGTCGGAAAAAGTATAGAACCCTCGAGGGGATTTATCACAATGGAGGATGACTTCATCAGTCGGGATATTTCAGAGAAGGAAAACGGAATAGGGAATTACTTATCAAAAGCCGACTGTAAAGTTCAATCCCTAGAGGTTGCATAATGAGCAAATGACCCATGGCAACATCCATTAAAACTTATTTGTTGCCAGAAACATGGCACTACCTATAAGGCAGTTATCCGGGCGATAAATGAAGGGAAAGACATCGAGTAGGAAATATGGAGTTGATGATCTTGTTTCGGAAGAAACATGGATTAAAACTAAGTGTCTTCGGAATACCGGTATGGAAAGAAAATGATGGAAGCTGGAAAACGGTGATCCCAGCTAGTCTAAAAATGTAATCGGCTAGCTCCAAAAAGTATTGCAAGAAAGTAGGATCTCGCGAATCAAAGTGAGTACTGATCAGGCATTAGAGGTGATATTACAAAGTGTGTAATCCCCTGCCCGCAGTGACAATTAATGAAGGGTGGTTGTTGCACTCATCCGAAGCCGTGATAGATTCCATTGACGTAAGTGGACGATATATGGTTAGTGGATATAGTGAGTACTTTCCTTAGAATACTTAGTGGTAACCAATAAATGTTAGTGATGACAAAGCACACCACTTGCTAGACAGATGCGGTAGCGGTTCTAGATCAACTCGCTAAGATGGTAACTGAGGTGGAAATCAAAAATGAATGGGAAATACAGCGTGCCGTACATGATACCAACAGATCAAGGCTCATGTTTTGAGAATGTCGAGTTAAGAGTCGGTTTGAGACACTCAATACTAAATGAGTAAGAATGACACTTTATCACCCTTGATTAATCGTCTGACAGAAAAAATAGTCGAAGGTACCTGAGGGAATGATGAGAATGTGGCACAATTGTCACTTAGACCCTCGATTTAAGGAGTAACGAAAGAATTGTCCTTCCAGCTGATGAATGGAGGAAATCACGACTTCTGTCATATAACAAAACTTGATCAGAACGTTGAGGTATGCTGAGGTGGAAAAGTCAGCGAGAAAAAGCTATCTGGAATAAACAAGAGAATCACATGCCAGGCACTAATAAAGCTTAACGGAAACAAAATAACGAGAGGAAGCAACTTGAATTTAGAGACCAGGTACTGTGTAGAAAATGGAAGCATAATTTTCGGGCTAGGAATAAGCAAGCTACCTCTCAACTGGGAAGCACAGTAGGTGGCTACATTTCAGTGAGGTCAGATGTGCAATATAGAGAAATTAGATAAAGACAAATGAGAAAACTTCCTACTGCTGCAACGACACATACATACAGGTTAAGAGAAGAAAAGCAAGAGATACACTTTGGACTACAGTAGAACGGTCGATGCGGTTATGGAAACAACTGTATAATAGGGATACGAGTGTGGTGCATACTACTTGTGAGAAGATATAAGCAGTATACCGAATTATCTAAAGTATTTCCACTGTGTAAGCTTTTCTCATGTTCCGCTATGTTTTCGACGGAATATAGCGTCGGTGGCGCAGCGGTTATGACTCTCGCCGATCATGCATACGGTCCGAGGTTCGATCCCCAGCCGACGCACACATGATGTCTATTGTCGGCCTACAAAATTTGGGCTACAGATATCACATGCTGGAAATTCCATACCTGTACAAAAATACGGTGTGGAATCAAGCTGTAATCAAGAATAAATATAAAATAAAAAAACTGTCGCTTGTCTAATTGTTGTTTTTTATTCTTAATTTCTAGTATAGCACTACATCTTAGGCCAAACGTGTGTTATGGATCTTCCACGTAACTCAGCGGATGAGTTTATTTGATCAAAAGTTCAGTTGTTAACTAATTTTAATTCTTTTTAAAATTTTTGATTACAGCTTGATTCCACACCGTATTTTTGGTACAAGAATGGAATTTTCAGCATGTGATATCGGTAGCCCAAATTCTGCAGGCAGACCATAGATATCAGGTGTGCGTCGGCTGGGCATCGAACCCCGGACCATGTGCATGATCGGCGAGAGTCATAACCGCTGTGCCCCCAGACTTCCGAGAAGAATTAAACTGAATAGGTAACTAACTGACAGGTAAATGTACTGCTGAGCACGTATCATCCTTTCTTGTCAAGTCTGAAAACAAGGATATTTTTTCACAACTCCCACATCTGCTGGAATGTGAATGCTAGAGAGATCGGTAAATCACCTAGGTTGAGCATGTCAGTAAGTTATAAAATAGGATTAATTCATATTTACACATACGCTAAACATAACTGAATGCACTGGTATACTTATACATATGCTAAAACAACAGGTATACTTTAAGATTTGTTATCGATTTTGTCTATTCAAACAGATTGTTAGTCACGTGTCTCCCATAACATAGCTTAATATCTTATATTTCCATGGCCAAATGTTTAACGGGACAAAATATACATACATACACACATATTTGGAATTAGTTTAGAGCGAAAAACATAAATCGATAACATGGACCAAAACAGCAAAGAGATTCGACGTCAGAGAAGAATAAAACACGATGAAATGAAAATAATGAAAATGAAGCAACGTTTATATACCTTAGGCGGTCGAAGTACATTTCATGGTATTGATGTATTATTAGAAGCCAAACCCGGTTGGAGTAGAAGACTAACGATTTTGATTTTAATCACAATGTGTGTAGCGTGTTTCTTCACTGTATCTGACCTAATAGCAGGATTCATCAATATGCCTATTTCGACTGTAATTAATTACGGACAAAAAAGTTTTGAATTTCCCACGGTAAACATTTGTCCAGACAGCCCAATGAGTATTGAAAGGCTGAAAAAACACCCTGATCTTCGAAAAAAGTAAGATGATGGTAAAATACATTCATTTAAATATGAAAGAATCAAATATTGAATAGTTATGGAGGACAACTAGCATTTTGATTCAAATGCAGTTCCTTCTCTAGTTTAAGCAAAATTGTCATGTTATTTCAAGGCCCGTGTCCTTCACTTTGGGTTTAAAAGGTGACAAAAGTCTCTATTTGTCCTCAGATTTATTTTAGGAGAAAGAATTTATAAATTCTAGTTAATCAAAATTATAATAAAATGCTTTGCCCACTTCAAATGGTTTAAACTGGAAATGCATGAATCGACAGATATAATAGTTATCCATTATTGTGAATAGTTGGGTGCGAAGAAAACATACAAGAAAAGTGATGTTTTCGTAAATTTGCCCCCAACCCTTAGCTAACAGCTAATGAAATCTCAACAATGATAGTTGTCAGTTTGCATCATATTTGACATTGGTGAAATATCTGCCTGTTAAAATGCAAATTTACTGTGTATATGTTCTCTTTTCTTACCGATTCACTTCGAAGCTAAAGGAGTTTTCAGGGTTTGATCACAACAGCCTCCGTGCCACCATCTGAAGAGCGTTAGATGTTGAGGTCAAATGCAAAATACTAGGCACGAAAAGCAATTTATACTGATGCAAGTTTTACTTTGGTCTCAATCGCGTTAAAAGGCAGATTTTAATACAAGTGCCGAAGTGATTTACCTGCCACAAATGAAATGGGAAATCGGTTTGCAAAGTAACGCGTAAAGTGCTGCTGACGAAATTTTTAATCTGGCAGCGAAAATATAAGACCACTTTGTCAATAATCGGACTATTGAATTGATAACAGCCTATCTATATGTTAGGAAGGATTCTAGAGATGTTAGAACAATCGAGTACTAAACAGGCTAAAATACACGGGAGGAAATACATCTAAACTTAGTGCCTAATACTCAAGTATATGTATGCATATGGTGGAGGAAGATGTTAAGATGTCGCTGATACGATTGAAGGAATTGTCCATATGTCGCTGGAAATACGTATAGTAATAGGACAGAAGAGATTAGGAAATCAGATTGCAAATTAGTTTCGTGTACGTTATATAAATCAGGCAGAAAAACTGATCAACATTTAGTCTTGAATAAATGTAATTATTTGGAGGCACTCAGTTTAAGAGGTGCATAAATTAAGAAAAGTTTTGAGGTCTCTGAACAGAAGACTATCTTTATAAGTATTTTATACATTTAATGGCATAAGGTAACTTTCACGCTGAGGGAGGTGTTTTATTCCTAACTCTCATCCTTTTACGCCACTCTGAATCGAAAAGAAGCTGACTTTTAACGGTTTTCATTTTGGGTAGTTCTCACGCTTGTGTCTAGTCAGACTGTTATTCACAGTTTTTATTCAGTTTAACAATTCAGTCTTTACTTATATGAACTAAACAGTTTACTTAATCTCCTAATTTTTGAAATGTACATTGCATACTGAATGATAGCCACAATTACTGTTGAATGCTGAATATATGATTCATCAGTTTTGCTACAGCCATCACTTCTTAGAAATTTAACTAGGTGTATCAGTCTCGTCCTAACTATCTTCATCGAGGGTCATTTGAAAAACTTCAGGTACCTGAATAATGAACCTTTTGGATTATTTCTTATGGATTAACTTTTTTTATCCGAAGTATATTATTTAACTTTTGATAAGTAGTTTAGGTTTGCGCCTAAAAATATTAAAAAATTTGAAACAACAAGAACAATAAGGACACTTCCGCACAATTCTCATACGAATTACTGGCAACCATTTTATTAATGGAAATACTTAACACATAAAAAATTAGGAAATAGTCTATCAAACAGCTAAGAAGTTGTTAAAACTAGTAGATGGTGCTTTGATTGGATACTAGTAACTAGTGTGATGTGTTTAGTCCTTTTTTTGGAGCAGACTGAATTCTACCAGCCAGGTAACGTCTCTGACTGTAGCACTGGGTGACGCGGGTCCGAATCTCAGAAGGGATATAAGTTCCTTCAAGGTTGTAGATGCGCCTTGCTGACTAGTTTCAACTAGCACGAAACCTAGGTCTAAGGCTTCCTGCCGACTGTCTCCAACCATGTAATATCACTAGCAGACAGTGTTAACTGATAGTGTGAAGCGAATGTGAGCCTGAAAATAGTGTACAGTTTTGTGTGGATTATTATAAAGTTAGCGTCATATTACCAAAAAAACTGACAAAAATTGGCAACCTCTAGATAAAAAGTAGTTTAGTTTTACTCTACTGCCCATATGGTCTTGCGGTATTTAGGCTACATTTGGAGTGTATTGTTCATAAATACAAAGTAAACAGTTAGTGACACCTAGGAAAGTTAACTGTGAATTCTTCACTTCTTTCAACCCCATATTAATTTTTTTTACTGGATAAATCACACAGTGAAGCGGCATAATTTACTAAATGATTAGTGATGAATACTCTTTCACTGTATGATATACTCAGTTGTAAGACTTATGTGGAACAACATACTGTTTTACAAATTTATTTATTAAGGTTTTCAAGTTGAACAAATAACCTTTCCTAAAGTTAATGGATTACATTGTACTGGTTACCCGTGTCACTCTTCCAGGCTGTTTCCATGTAAGCTGTGATACTGTGGTAAAACATAGTGCTCAACCGTACAGTGCTTGAGGGATCACGTCTAACCTCAATGTTAACTCATTATTTCTATCAAATCTAATTCCGAGAAACTATATTATTCTTGTATATATAAAGTCGAACAGTTCTGTTTCACACCCCGTAAATCGGGATATGAAAAAGGTGATTTGAAGAGTACTGGTCGTCAGTGTATTGCTGTTTCATATACCACAGACACATCATTTACGCAAAACAGTCACAGTCTAGGTCCAATGTAAGTGATGATATTAAGTAGCTAGTATTAAACATCATTGGTGGGTGAGGTTGTTTATAATGGGTAATACAATTCAGTTTAAGGTGTGTTACTATACAGCTTTATGCACGGAAACATTTTATTGTTAAGAGGTATAGAGATTCCCCACTTCATCGTCAGGTGATCAGATTGCAACTTGGCACACTTACAAAACTAAGAAAATAATGCTGAATTAATAGCGGCTGTTCACAAATATAATATCATAAAGTAGTCCATGTTGGATATGCTACAATGTGGATGATAACAATTCAGTTTTCTGAGATATTTAAGATTATGAAATGTACTCCACTACTATTTCCTAGATAACCACAATCTATATTCTGTTTGTCAGCATAGATGAAACTTTTATTATTTGATCTGATCTCATACATATATATATAATTCGTTGTTAAGGTATTTACAAATTGCAGCTTATTGGATAGCCAAGGCTTCAGGTGATAATTCAAAATGGCCACCTACAAATGGAGATTGGCGAATTCGGGCTAAGCGTACTTTTCGTCCACATTTCTTATACAATAGAACACGATTAATGTGGAAATGGTCAGACTATTTTGTAAGTTGTGAATATGGTGGAACTCCGTGTAATATTGATGAAGTTAGCGTGGATATACCTTTGGGTGTTATGTCACATGCGAATACCCTACTGCTTGGTACAGAAGGTGTAGCGAAACTGAATGTGGTGCCAAGAGGCTTAGTAAAAGCAGTCAGTAGTAATGTTGAAGAAAATGATTTGCCTTCAATGTGGTTCAATGGGAAACCGATTATTCAAGAAGAAAACACTGCTCCAAAAAACTGGTCAACTGGAAGAGTTATTTTAATTGATCATCCATCGAAGTATATTTGTTTCCAGGTGAGACAGTATAGTACTATTCGATCTTCTCCCAAGTTTCAAAACCACCGCCATCATATATACATATATTTATCCTGTTATGTGCGTTTTATATTATTTCGGTGAATAAAACATTCCTATGTGGAATAATACAGTGTGTCTAAATGATATATAATTATCTTGTTAACTTCAGCTATCTGTTGGACACAGATCTGTCTTACAGGTGGGTTGAAGTTTGGATAGATTTCAGCTACTATGAATGCTATTTAATCTATGCCTGAAATTCGTTACGTTGGAATCCTTGCCAGCAGTATTGTACTACGGACTTATCTGGGTAAAGGTGAACTAAATGTGATAACTGACTATCTAGGTTAGCTTCTGTTCATATTTGGCCCATCAGACGGTCACTGAATTTATTTACTCTGGTTTCAGTTCCGTTTTAGATAAGGACTCGGGTAACACAGTGACCAAAGTCAGTGACTGACTTGGATGGATCATATCTTAAGCATAATTTCTCAAAGTGTAAGAATAAAAAGAATTCATTTTGTAGAAGGAGGCACATTGCTAAACAAGATGTGTTCAAGCTCTTATCTGGCACCAGTGTGTGGTCTTTTGGGCGATATATATTTTCGTCCTCTCTACTTAATGCAAAAGTAGTAGTTGTGAAAAGAGCGCAGGGGTGTTAAGTAAAATTTTAAGTCTAAGATTCATGTTTGCAAACGGATGGTAGACCTAAACTCCAGAACACTTCACGTATCCACAGACCAGAAATGGCCAGCAATATTTGTGGCTAGAATAAACCTGACTATTTGTAGTACTATTGTGCATTTTGCATTTTTATTGAAATGATTTTAAGTTAACATGACAGTCACCCACATAAAAAGGGAACTGTTGTATCTGAGTTGGTGGCAGATGAAACCACTATCCATTGAATTATTGTTTACCCAATTTTGACACAGTTTATTTAGAGGTTAAAATGCTTTGTATAGCTATACCAGACACATTGGTAGCATTTTTTCACTTACTTTACAAGTAAATAAAAGACATTCGGAAAAATGATTTCCCAGTTGACGGAAAAACTGATGTTTCTCAAGAGTCTAAAGCCTCATCTATTTATCCGACCGGAAAAAGAAATTTCACCTTCTTAGCAAAAAAGTAACAATAAGTTATCTCTGAGAGTAAAAACTATGCTAGTCATGACCGTTACCCGATACACACTTGTACTAATTATTGTCTACCGTTTTTGCTGCTCATCCGTGATCCCGTTGTAGGATGCTATCCAGCTGCGTTAGAAGTAGGGATTTGATTCCGAAAGGAATGTTGGTCATGAGATTACCAACCCAACCTCTAAAAAATTACACGTCCTGTGTTTGATTCGAAACACGAGTAGTTAGAACCACAAGAGCTCAGTAACCAGTTAGATTTGTACAATAGTAGTGTTCTTAACGGTTTATCTCTACAATTTCTGCATATTAATAATTTGCCAGTCTAAATCAGGTATAAATTTCTTTATTGAATACACACACTACCTCAAGATAACAATGAATAATACCATGGTACGTGAGCCCGGATCGATTAAAGGCCTTCACTTGGTTTTACGTCGACCCTACAACAGGAAAACAACACAACCTGCATTACTGACAGTTGAATCAAAGCCTTCAATCCTACAGGTAATTAATTACACTTATCTTTTGAATTATGCTCATAGTGATGATAATTTTGCTCCATAGTAAGCATTAATCGGTTGCTTTCTTACTCTTACTGACTGCAATGTCATCTGAGAAGTAAATTAATCACAGTAAATTCATCGCTGGCTCAGATTATGTGCAAACATAGGAAAGTATTTTGTATTATTTAATATTGTTCATTTTCAGAAATACCAGACGATATCTTGATATTTCATGGCTTTCATTGTTATTTTGATGACTAGAGTTATGCAATAAGTAGGAATACGTTTCATCATGTATATTTTGTCGAATACCTCCTCATTTACTAATTTTCTTTTTGAAATTCGAATACTTTTGTGGAAGGAAATATGAAGATAACTACTGGTTGCTTTCGGGGTGTGTAGCTCGTTGGTGGAGTGTTTGGTTTGCATACAAGAGTCTTGTATAATTACGGGTTCAGGATGTAGTAATAACGAAGTGAGTAGGAGGTTCGGACACATAAAAATAAAAACAATAACCAAATCTAATAATCCGGCTAGGGATTTAAAAGGTAAATAAAACAAATAAACGGGAAGGTTGGACAAGAAAGGTAACTGGATAATCATTACTGGTAGGACTGACTTTGCATGATGGCCACGGTAGGGACAATGGTTGTACACATTTCTTTTGGACACACAGAATAGGCTTGAGTTTTTGGATCACAGTGCCTCAGCTATTCCTAGATGTCTTGATTTCACTCCCTCTGGTAGGTTGGATCGGATCTTATTTATAGTTTTGAAAGACTTTTCGAACGGGACTGGATGTCCAGAATTTACCAGATGCTCTGTTATCGAACTGTATACCCCTTTGCGTTATCCCTTTGCTAACTATGCTGGGTAGTATTCCCGAGCGCGTTTTACAAGCGGACGCATAGTACGGCCAATGTACTCAGCTCCACACGATCAAGTGAAATTGTACATGCATGTTGAAATGGCCCAATGCGACAGCTTGTCTTTTATGTGTTGAGTGAGTATTTTATTGTAGGAGAATGTTATTCGTAGGCTGACGATGAGTTTTGTTTAACTGAGAGACTTCGAAAGCTGTCCACGGAGAATTTCTGCTTCGGTATCACTTTTAAATTTGAGGGTGACTTGGACCTTTTCAGGTGTTTTCCTTGGTTTCAGATTCTTTTTAGGAATCTGGGTGGTAGTCAAATTTTTATCAAGGTCCCAATAAGATTTCATAATTCTTCATCGATTGAATCTTCAGTGCAAATCCTCCGGATCCTCGAGGAAAGAGAGTGTGTTAGGTTTCTGCTTAGAGGCATACAGCTTTGAAATTTAATATACTGTCTGTTCCATGTGGGCTTTCTGTGGATGGATCTTCTTAGCGAGTTGTCATATTACCTTTCTTATCCAACCTTCCGCTTTATTTGTTATATTTACCTTTTAAATCCCCATCTGCATTATTAGATCTGGATACTGTTTTTGTTTTTATAAGTCCGAACCTCCTATCCATTTCGTTAATACTACATCCTTAACCCGTAATTATATAAATTGACTAGTTTTATGGTAATTATAATCCTATTTTGTCTTTTCTACCTGATCTTCCTGATTATTTTTAGTTTGACCTTTGGTCTGAAATATTTTTAGAATAGTGCCACTACCTATCTTCTGTTTAATACACTTAATAATTATATTAATTCAACGTCTGACAGGAAATAATTCTGGAACTTTCCCACACATGCAATATAAATATACAAATGTACAGCCTGGTTGATGACTTCGTCAAAAAGAAAATGTTCTTCGCTGCAACGGTCTTTTTAATAATTCCTATGATCCAATGTGTTTATCCACTGAGAAATCTCATACAACCGGTAGTAAGCGAATAAACGAAGGAAGCTTCAGCACCCCATGAAATCAACACCACTGAGACTGAAAATTCGAAAGTCAACGTTCGAAGTGATCCGATTACCGGACGTCTGCTTGCCTCCTTTGAGGCTGAAATTATCAGAAGTGTACCCTGTCTCACTTAGCCCAAGGAGTAACATCAGTTCAACTCACCACCACATGTTGTGATCTGAATAATTTATGCTTCCAAGGGAAACTGTGGTGGAATTTCACCAAGAACTTTGTAAATTGCAAATGGTGAATTTGTTCAGAAACAGCAGTACTTTTCGTGTCGTCCTGTACTTCCTTCATCTCCATACCTTCCACTCATATAGTTATTCGGTACAATGGTTTTTTAAATTTGTTTTTGTGGTAACTTCAGAAAACTTTCGCAACTACAAAAGAAAACGTAACAACATTTTAAGGCTTTTATTTGGAAGGATGATGAATGCAATGTTCTCTGATGATCAGAAGAACATGGCTTTTGTTGTGGGAGTATTTAATGAAGGAAATAAAGAAATTGCTATTCCAAGCATCATGCTATAAATATGTTGAATGTCTTGTATTTTTGTGCTGTCAGCAGTTTTAATCGCATTTCAGGCAAACCGATCTCTAATACATACAAGCTTCACATTGGAGTTATTCTCATGAAACATGTGTTTCGTGATTCTTCTTCATTCATTCAGTTTTGAGTACATCGTGGGAATTTAAGCTTTGGAAACTCAATACCGTTGGTCTTGTTTATACAGGGGCAGGTTTACTTCCAACTGACTTTACGGGCTCACTACCGGCTAGGAAGGTTGATGGAGTTTGGGAGTGCGTCGGCCAGAAATCGAACTTGGACCAACTATGTGACCGGTGAGCACTCCGCCAGTGAACCACCAACTCATAGAGAGGTGATTCCTCCCCATCGATAGGAATACCTTTTACACTCACCTGGTTGTTGATGTTTTATGGCCATGCTGGTGGAAGACAGTGATGGAAAGGTGAATGGTGACACCTCTAACAAGGTTTTAAATTTTAATACTGTGTGGAAATTTCCTGTAAAGTAAAATAATGCCTTAACTAAAGTAAGAATCTGCGTTCAGATTATTACATGCTAAAAAGCAATAAAACCCCTGGAGATTTCAGTAATAGAAACACTTGCTATTGAGGTTAGGGCCCATTCTTACTTCTTATTTTCCCAAGTATGCGTTTTGACTGTGAAAACCTTACTACTAGGCTAGGTTACTGAATTCCAGTTAAAAATATGTCGTATATTTTCGGCAAACACGTTGTCTTACTTGTCACTAAGTTACTCGAGAAAGAAACACATACTTCCACTAAATTATGCAGTGAAATTTGCGAATATTACCAATTCGATGTCTATAGATTACTCTTACGAAGGCATATGACATTTGTTACTGCTCATTTTGGGCTACTGGGAACACCAGGAATGGATAACTGGACTAAGATATTATGGCCATTGGTAGGGAGTATCTTCAACTTCAAAGGGTCTGATATTTTCTGACAGATTTAAGCCGATTTTTGCCCACCCATAATTGACATATATTTATTTAACTGCTCTTTACGTTTACTGATTTTGAGTTATCCCAACAATGATCTCCTCTTTCTCTAGGCCTGGGATGACAGATTATTCTTGTCAGACGAATCAAGTGATAAAAAATCATATGACATAAAAAATGTCCATAAGTTTGACGGTTTTCACATCATGTTACATGGAAATAAAGGAGATGGTTATGCCGGTGATCTACCTGCAGACGAAATCTTCAAGGCTGGCAGTGCACGATCAATTGTTTCCTTTGGACTTCGGTATGGTCAACACGTCAGTGTCGGTGTTAGTCAGTATGTAAGTTGCTCAATCAATCTGTAAAATGCACACATATTGTAGGTGAGAACAAGAATTTACTGAGATAGCACACCAGGGAAAGGGAAATAATAATATATTGATGTGCTGACATTACAATGCAGAAGAGTTCCATTGTAACATGATGTTTTTCGCTCTTCGATATAGGATACAGTGAATGAAACTCTAGATTTCTACTGAGATATCGAGAAGGAAAATTAGAATAAACTAAAAGGTTGAGTTATGAGAGAAAACCAGAACAAAAGATTTGTTTACAACACTATAAATAAATAATAAATAAGGACAGTAAACAACAATTTATAAACCTGTATTGTTGGTGCGGTGTAGACTTCTTTTAAGAAATCTGGAGCGATAACTGCTAAATGAACATCTAACGAAGGGTTAACCTGAAGTTCAGTAGTACATTAACAGATAAGAATAATGAATTCAAACTACCAACCTCAAATCGTCAAGTGTCTGAGCTTAATGTCGTCAAAAACACTGTCATACTTCGTCGAAAGCAGTGCTGTGCTACGAACGATTTGAGGTTAGCAATCAACAACCTATGAATGTATGGAGCAAGGAAAACCAGGTAAGAATTAATAAGCTTCAGTGGAGGGTTGAATATGAGGTAGATGTGAAAAGCGTATAAAGACTAATCATAGGGGAATAATTACTAAAGACAAAATTGGATGTGGATACATTCACAGAGATTTTGTCCAATGGAAAAGAACAATTTACTTTACGGGATTCACTGTATAGTACAAAGAAATTTAAACTTCGACTACTCAACACTAATAGGTAGTATGAAAGTGATTGTAGCGAAAGTCGATGACAGTTACACAGTAGAATAATTTCATTTAGTAAAATACAGTGTGACTTATCCAAAATGCCAAAGAAAACGGCCTTAGGTCAATGCAAGAACTGCGACAGACAGTAGGCAGCGAGGAAACAGGCACAAAATGGACCCACACAAAATACTTGGAGGATCTGCACTTCACCGATATTATTTGTCTGATTTCCCACAAAATGGATGATGTGCAATTGAAAAGCGACAAGTTCTCAGAAGAAGCCTCCAGAGCAGATAGGACTTCAAGTGAACATAGAGAAAACACAGGTGATGGAGATTCCTGATCCACAGTAACAGCCACAGACAACAATCAGCCAGCATTAATGGGGGGAATTTCAAAGAAGCAACCTCCTTTACCTACCTGAGAAACACTGTTCCAACTACAGATGGACGGAACTGATGAGGATATCAAGGCGAGGATCGGGAAATCAACGCAAGCCTTCATTACTCCCAAGTCTGTGTGGAGGTCGACAGCATTCAGCATCGAAAATAAGATCCGGATTTTCAAGTCCAATGTGAAGTTAGTTCTGCTGCACGGATCAGAGACTTGGAGCGTTATGAAGAGCACCTCAAAAAAACTACAGACCTTCATCAACGGCTGTCTTCGCTCAATACTACTCAAGATCAGATGGCCAGAAAAGATCAGCAACAGGGATCTGTGGGAGCGAACAAACCAGAAACAGATTTTACAACAAATAGGCAGGAAGAAAAGGAGGCGGATTGACCATAATCTGAGAAAACAAGCCACCGAGTGACATCACATGACGGGCTCTTTCTCGAGTGGAACCTGAAGGGAAAGCGGCGAGTTGGTCGTCAGTGCGAGGGTGACTTGGACGAGCTTATGTGAAGAGGAGATGAAAAAATGTGGGCAGACGTGAAGCCAGGTGAAAACGTTGGTAGAGAACCGAACGCAATGGAGACGTGCGGCTGAAGTCCAATGTTCTTCTAGGAACTAAAGTAAACAATATATATATGATACATCGTGAAAGATTAGCATTTATTTATTGACTGTGTTTGAGGTCAGATTTATTCCCCAGAATAATATCAAGCTGCCTACGAGAACTCTCAGATTTTCGCTATAAAGTTCCTCCATTTCTTATCACTTGATTTTGTGTGTAATAATATTTTCTATGTCTTAAGGTGTGACTGTTGCATTATTTCTATAGTAAATGTTTGAAGTAGACTGGACGAGAAAAGATTCAGAGATCAACGCAACTATTCACCTACACACATTCGTTTTATCAACTGTAGCTCTTTCCATACTACTGTGAGTACCCGTGTAAGTGAATACATTGCAACAGCAAAGTGTTTCTCTAAGTTGGTCATTTTACGACGTGCTTTGGTGCCCTCTACCGCGTTAGCCTAACATTTATACATTCAGCTAAGTTCCTATGTCTTGACAATTTGAGTGGCACCGATCTACTGGACTTACATCATTTTTATTGGAATGTATTTTGATAACTAAATTATTTTGCTTAATTGGGTCGATAGCATCCCTTAACCATCATAATTTGTTAGTCCACCATGGAGTTATACTATGTTTCAGTGCCAAAACTGTATTCTTATGTCAGTGATAACCTGTAACAGATCAGCGAAGGCTCGGCATTCATACATTATTTGCTCATTTAACTTCAATTTATTTCTTACTATCATGCCGCAGTATGTAATAAATTGAAAGTAAAACAACAAATTTGAAGATTATCTAACCATAACTGCATAATTTAGAAAACATTTCTACCCATTAAAGAACCTGTTTTGCTGAATATCTACGCCTAGAAAAAAGTGGACATTAATGCTATTCGCTGTCATGAGACTGCATTTAACTGATCAACTGAGCTGATTTGCATCGACGAATAGCTACTTATACGTCTGCGACTGGCTTAGTGAACTCAGAAATACTTGTCTGTGTACATATTCTACACCTACATCATAAATTCAGTTCTACCATGACAGTAAATCATTCGTTGGAATACAACATCAATTCCTTAATGATTTTCACTTGCTAAACAGCGGAGATAAAACAATTAGCAATAAGAAAACACATTCCAGTATTGAAAACATTTATTTCCTGATAAGAATTTAAAACAAGCAATAAAGGTTAATTAAGCAGGATTTAATGAATTCACTTCAAACCGCGTATATCAATTTGAGTGTGTTTGTGGCAGCAGATACATAGGTCGTACGGAAAGGCGATTGTCTACTCGCATGATGGAGCGTTTGCCAAAATGGTTGAAAACAGCTGAGTGCAAAGTGCCAAAATCCTCAATAACAAAACATCTGGTGGATTACGGACATGATATCGACGCAGTCAAGTCATTCACCATTGTCAGCAAACAAAGAAACAAGAAGATGCTTGCAAATGCAGAGGCTTGTGCAATTCGAGTTTATAAACCAGCTCTCTGTATACAAAAGGAGATGGTCGTGACTCTGAATCTACCATGGTAATACGTTTTACTTATTATTCTTTACTTATTATTACTATTATTCTACCTCATTATTGTTATTATTATTATTCTTGATTCATTTAAAACTATCCTTTATCAATAGGATTATCTTAACTCCCTTCAACAATATTATTATTATTCATATTATTATTACTATTACTACTGATATTAGTCTGCTTGCAATTCTCGTTATATTCCTTAATGACTAATTGTTTATCTAAATGATGTAATTGAAGCGTAATGCAATTTATCTTAATTTTGATCTCTCATGCTCTCTCTCCCCTTATCTATTTGAACATGACCTGTAAAACATTCGCACGTGTCTTTCTGCATGACTAATTCAATGTAGTTTGTTTACTTATCAGTCTTATATCTCCCAATGTAATTTCAAAAGTATATATATCGGTGTATGTAGAGTATTCACTTGATGAGTTCGACCGAATTCATGAATTCATTAAATCCTGCTTTATTAACCTCTATTGCTTGTTTTACATTCCAGTATGTTAAGTTAGTTTTCCTTCGGCATTTGGTATACACTGTGGATGTGAATTATTTAGAAATAGTTCTTAAGGTAGAGGACTATTAATTTTCGGAGTTGGAAATATTTTTCCTAAATTTCTTGAATTCATTGGTATTTGTTGACCTCATAGGGAATCAACATTCTTGTATCTGATGCTTTCTACCAGGCCTCAGGTCTTCACACATTTGAAGGTAGCGTATACAAGTTAGACTGACAGTCATCGCAAATTTCCATCAGTAGTGATAATTGTGTGAAGCATAAGTTAAAGAAATTCATCAAAACACGGAGACGAGCAACTATGAATCCAGATGAATACGTAAAGCAATGCATGAATGTCTCATATAAAAATTGTAGTGTACATGTATACATTTGGAAAGGCAAGGTGTTTTTCACAGTTATCACCGACGATTTCACAAACTCTCGTGACGAAATGTACGAGATAAAAGCATTTCAGCTTATGAAACACTAAACAATTTCCGTTTTGCACAGTGAGCTAACAAATTCTGTATTCATGGGGCTAATATGTTTCAGATTTAAATAGTTAATGAAACATGTTATAAATGTACGTTCAAGGGGGAATTTTTACTCGCTAAACTTTCAGGTTCATCAAAGACTGTCAACACTTTTTCGACCATGCAGACAAGCACTTGCACATCATAAGTATCTGCAAATGGCTACTTTCTTTGCCTCTGGTGGCACTTTATGGAGGTATTACCAGCTGGGCTATACGCATACAAATTGTGTTGCACAAATGCGGCAACTTGTTATGCTTAGACAGTGTGAATGTTTATCCGAGGATTATCTAATTCCTACACAAATGGCTGGTGAATTAGTTGAAAATGGATTCTGTCATTCCCCCAATAAGAAATATAAAAGTGGCACAGAAGAGTTTATGAAGCGAATCGCATGTCATGATCATGTTGCGGCACTACCACGAGAAAAAGTAAGTCCTATTGATGCACATGAAACTTATCACAGACCAGTTCACCAAATTTTTAAATTTTAGCGCACTATCTGTGAGTTTAGATCCTTCACTATTAAAGAACAATGTTTATGATACAATTACTGATGTACGCATACAACTTGGGCACTGTCGTAGAGCATATCAACTTGATATGATTATGAGCAATAGTGTGTGCTCGAAAAGTCATCAGTTAATATAAATGTCCAACACTGTGTGATTTACTGAAATAAAGTCTCATCCATAATTGAGTTTATGACATGAGGCGAATCAGAATAAAAATACGCTTGCATATGAAATTCATCAAAATAAGTGCTTATCATTGATAAACGAGAGAAGTGGTAGGTGGCACAGTGGTCAGGACTCTCACCGACCATGCACATGGTCCGAGGTTCGATCCTCTGCCGACGCACACCTGATATCTATGGTCGGCCTGCGAAATTTGGGCTACCGATATCCATGCTGAAAATTCCATACTTGTACCAAAAATAGAGTGTGCAATCAAGCTGTAATCAAAAATAAAAAAATAAATATAATAAAATAAAAACTGAAATACAGGATTACTCCGTAAGAAATCATTAATTATCTTTGTGTGGCAATACAAATCAGAGACAGTGTGTGTCACTGTTGACCAACTTCGCTTTCAGAAGTGATGCTTTACAACGCGTGTTATACGATTATGTATATACAAGGAGACAGTATGTTAATACATTTTTAAAAAATGACAACTTACTATCAGACTGAATACTTGTAGCTTTGAATGAATTTTATAATGGGCATTAAATCATATGAGAACACGGTAATCCTCACAAATGATGTCTACATGATTATGTTACTGTATAGTTCTGATGTAGAATACATTTGATAATTTGCAAAGTTATTTAGTTGGCTGTAGACGTACAGCTTCTTTGAATAACAGTCCTGACAATAAAGTTGAAACGGGAGCATACAAGTCTCATCACACTGGAACGGTTGAAGCAAATTTTCATAAATTTAAAATGACGTGCATTAGATACTCTGTATTGTTTAGGACACTCCATGTTTAATTACATTGTTCATCGAGCTTTCTACATTGTCATTTCTCCTTAGTCCCTCTCGGTTTAAAACTGACAGAGTACGAATTTTGAGCTCAAAGTCTTCGGTATATTTACACCAAGATACATTTCTCGTATATACATAACTTGGTGATGCACCCGTCATTAGAATTAGTAAATTATAATCAACGCCTTTTTGTGCGGAGTTATCCAAGTGCTGTTCACTCCAAATCTCCGACAGAATAGTAAACAAAGAGGATATGTCAAAATACAAACAACATCAATTGAAAGAAAGAAGTAGTGAAGAGGAATAGGCTGTTCAATCTTGGAAGCCTTGATTTTCCCTGTTTAAGTCCATTTCTCACCTTGGAATAAATAAACCTTATTTTTCTGATAACTAACTGACCATTCCATTTTGATGCCAGTATAATAAAGAAGTGATAGTTACCTGTCATAGTAGCATGTGACGAGATCCTTACTGTGGATGTTTCCCCGTACTTTTGCCATATTAACAGATCGTTGAAATGACAATACCAGCAGTCTATGAAACAGCAATACTCGTACAACTGACAATGGAGTTGGAACGATTATGGAATTGTCCGAAATTCTGCCAAGAACTAGTTTACCAGCCTGAAATTATTCAGCACCAAACCATTCTAAATAGCATAATTCTTAAAGGTGAAAAGAAACAGCCTGAAGAGAATATATCATCAGAAGACTTGGCTGTTATCACCGTCTACGCAAGCGAAGCCAGTGTGCCGATAATGAGTGAAGGTGAACAAATGAGTATCTTTAATTTGGTTGCCTCTCTCGGAGGTGCATTTGGTTTGTTCTTAGGACTATCTGGAGTGACAGTGTTCGAAATCCTTGAGGCATTATGTGTGATTATCTATACGTTCCCAGCAGTGTGTAGAATGCTTGGACGTAGAATTGCTAAATCTGCTACCGAACGCAAAAGAAGGAAACAAGAAATCTCAATTAAATTGATACAGAGTGGTGAAAATATACATTAATGTAATTCACTATAATAATTAATGATGTCAGTCTACAGTAACAGAAGCAGGATACTGTTTACTAACAAATGGGGATAGGATGAATGTCGCATCTTTGTCTATATTGTTTCATCCACATTCTTGACTTGTAGTCACTTTATTTGATGAATGTAAATTCATTCATTCATAAATTCATTTATCTCTGTATGTTATTTACGCCTGGAAAAATACTCAGAGTAGTCTGAATTCATATCTCATATCTGTCACCCTGATTCGTATGGGGAAGCTAAGGCTTAAATGAAAGTCCTAGATAGCTGCTTAATTCAGCGATACTTGAAAGGATGTTCAAAATGTGGCTCTGCTTCGACCACAGTCTTCGTTGCACTAGTAATGAAAAATGAGGAATTTCAGTCTATAGATATTTCGCTGAGAGAAAAATAACATCAGGAAAATTACTTGTTGCTCTCAACACTCCAGCTCAGTCATCTACTCTAAAAACTTGAGCTTACTCAGTATATCAATAAACCCTACAGTATTATTTATCTCACTGCGATAAGGGGCTGCTAAGGAGTGAAAGCTGATTTCTTTTCGTCAGACTTATTAATGCTAACTATTACAAGAGAGATTTAAACGTGATTCGGCTTCATAACATTTTACTTTGTTTGTCTCGTGTGCTTTTACTTGGGCATTACTCCACAATACTCACAGGTGATCAAAAGTATCATTGATCTGCAAAATGAAGTCAGAATAAGAGCAGGAGGAATTTAACCAGAATCATGTTAAGAAATGCAGCATTACACGCAATAACAGAACAGTTGTGTTATCATGCTGCAATTGATAAGTGCCTTTATGAAAATCAGGGTTTGTGGTGTTCACAACCAGGAGTGAGTACTTGTTAGCCACTGTAAACTGTTTAAAGCTACTTTACCTAGGACTTCAAAGACTTTGTTCTTAGAGGTGAAGCCTTTCTAATATCTGGTTTATTGATGTTGAATCATCCTGCTTTTGCCTTTCATTCATGATAATTGTGAGTAACAGGGGTTCTAATAAAACTCTGTGTTTGCGTGATATGAGTGGTGATTCAGAGGCTTCGGTAAGAACGCCTACACAATCATAAGAGTGACGCCAAAATAACAACGATGTAAGTTAGAGTGCAATAAAATAAAAACAGACAAATCTGTATCATACTTGCCCATTCTATTGCTTGTGTCCAAGAATGAATGAAATTTCATGTGTAGATGGCAACCATTTAACTGAATACTAATTCATTTGTAGAGGCATTTAATTTCCATAAGAGTCGACTAATTGCATGTTTATCAGCGTCGTCAGTACAAACTTTGTAGGGTGGGCTTAATCAACGTTGACCGATTCACCATTCACTTTAAGAAACCCTCAGCGGAATATTTAGACGACGTATTCTGGATAATTTCACACTAGGTGTTGCAATTACACTATCGGATCACTCAGCATAGACGATTCAATAAGGTGGGTAATAGAACTAAAGTTCAAGTGCATGGTGAAAACAAAAGTAATAATGATAACAGTAATAAAAGCACGCATATGTTTATATAATCTAGTTGGTTAGTTATTGAGGAAGTGTTAGATGTTTTGCGTGTATAGGAGTAGAAAAAGAAAATAACTCTTGTTTGATAGCAACGAAGTAATGAAGCGGTGGTTTTCGTGATAAATTTTGAAACGAATCGTGAATATACAATCACTACAGGGAGTAATAACACTTCACTCACCCAATCTCACTGGGACAGAAAATTATCCAATTCGTATGTGGATTGAACTTGAAAACCAGCAGACAGATAGAAAATGGACATAGTTGTTCAGAAGAGACACACTAGTTTGGAGAATAATGACAGAAAGTGCCCTAAACGTTGTACAGAAAGGTAAAAGCTGAATTCCTATTATTCTGATTCTCGATGTTCACTAATGTAGCCCTTGATATATCTTATTGTTGTATTGTTGGATAATGCTTGAGGTGACTGAGTGACTTGATGAAAGTGTGCGTTTCAGTTTGTATATGATGACTAACCGTTGAAAGTAGGTGCTGAGCTAAGAGATGTTTTGTACTTCAGTTGATGATTGTCGTTGTAAAGTATCGAAAAGTTTTCCTCAGATAATCCGGAAAGTCAAACATCATCAAATATTTCTTCCAACTACTAGTTGACATGAAGTATTCTGGACACGCTTCCTGACGACAACAAAAATCAGTAAAGGGGTAGGCAGGGAGTAATTTATGGGAAAGCTGCTCAACGGTTTGACGAACTACTAAGTGATAATATTCTCACTGAGGTCTAAAAGTACGTGTCTATGCTGCAAGCAAGAAACAGATATCTCATTGACTTCTAAATCACACGAATCACCACTCATGGTGAAAGTGCGATTCGGGGAGATCTGCGTAATCCCTAATGTTAGTGTGATACTCCACTGTCACTTTGATGGGCGAATTTCAGTACACTAGGTCCTAGAACACATGCCTTTATATTACCTCATTTTACAACGCGATTGAAATTTATCTAAGGATAGAACATTCTGAAAGCGACTGGTCAGCACGTCACAAAAATCTCAATTAGATGGAATGAAACTAATAGAGAGATTTGTATACAATTGGTGGATGGTGGCTAGCAGTGGAATCCAGGATGCGCATTTCGTCCTAATTGGGACTCGTCACTGGATGTACCTGCATTTCTCAGTGAGTGATGATGTTCCCACCGAGGCTCGAACCCAGTGCCCATAGTTTCAAACGCCAAAGCGTTATCCACTAGACCACTTGGGCCACGAGAGCCACCTCTTGTGCAACGGGTCATATGTTAATTATTGAATTGAATTTTTGATTTTCCCGTTGAGACATGGCTCGGATGGCCCAAGTGGTCTAGTGGATAACGCTTTGGCGTTTGAAACTATGGGCACTGGGTTCGAGCCTCGGTGGGAACATCATCACTCACTGAGAAATGCAGGTACATCCAGTGACGAGTCCCAATTAGGACGAAATGCGCATCCTGGATTCCACTGCTAGCCACCATCCACCAATTGTATACAAATCAAATCCTCAGACATCGTCGAAGCATCTGCACAAGAAGCCGACATGTCAACCTGAGACCGAACACTTCGGTCCAATCAATCGACGGGAAAATCAAAAATTCAATTCAATAATTAATAGAGAGATGTTATCATACTGAATACTTTTCTCAACACTTTTAACCAATATTCAAGTGTTGGTTTGTAGGGATTTGACTGGTTCACAGGATTCCATCGTGAGCTGACATTAGTTAGAGAACCATTAGAAAACCTGGGAGTACTGGACAGAAGCTCTTGTGTTGGAACTCCGGAGGGCGCGTACTGATGAAGAGTCCCAAACTAGGACGAAAGACCTTTCCAATAATCACAGGTTTTCCAATGGTTCTCTAACTAATGTCAGCTCATGATGAAATCCTGTAACTTTTAACTAACTTATTTCTCATTCGCACAAGGGTCTCCGTGGGATCGAATTTAAACATTTTGACTTACTACAGATGTGAAGTTATTTGACTTGTTTGTTTTTCAGTGTTAGATTGCTGTTTCTGGAATTGGCTTATATGTGAAATTTAGAAGGGAGTTTGTTAAGAGCAATAACTGACACTAAAATGTCAACAAGATAACGCAAACAGCTAAAAGATGTGTCGAAACTGTATTTGGTTCACAGCTTTTTCCAAAGGCCTTCTCGATAAGATGTGCATGAAAACTTACTGAACACTAACAATTCACACCACTCAAACACGCAGTCACGCAATTACAAAAACTCTGTCTTTTCTAAAACGGTGAAGGTGTTTCAGCATAACATCGATGGTGGGAATGTGGTGGTATTTCATGTGCAATGACTGAAAATAGGTGGGAAAGAACAAACTTAAAATTCATGTACGTGATCTTGTACCAACTGAAACACTTCAATAGATAAAAACTAAAAAACAAACATTTGCGAATTTCTGAATGATTGATTAAATAAAGAAAGCTAAATCCCCACAATAAAAAACATTTTGAATATATTTAACAGTGATGACTTACAATAAAAGACAATTTCTCATCTCAAGCTTGCATGATTCTGTTCTCATTATTCAACACCACCACCTTGTATTTCACAGTATTTTCTAATTGCATTCAGCTGAGCATGTCTGTCACACATATACTATTGATTTCTCCACACTCTAACTAATGTTATTCTACGTAGAAACTATATCTTCCGTATAACTATCTGTTATCATATTGGTAACGTATTTGATTTTATAACTATAAGCGCCTGTAGACAATTGATTGAAAAGAGTATTCTTCTTCATGACCAACTTTTAATTGTGAGTTATTGATAAATTCCTGAAAGTTATACATAGCACTACCAGTCTGGTATGATCAGCTCATTACAAGACACCCACACAATGAAAGTGGGCCACAGATAGTAAGAAAGATATGTAATGTTAAAGAAGTCGTACGATATAGTAGTGTAGCACAATAATGACAAAGAGAAACACCACCTCATTAAATTTTACTATTATTATTATTTTCTGCTTATTAATGTAGCTATTTGAAAAGATCAAGTTTCTAAATGTTCCGCTTCACACACAACGAAAATGATTAAAGACAGTTGAGAACAGTGATAAGAATCCCCTTTGGAGTTGAGCTTCATGCTTACTAATCCACTTCAGCAGTGGTTATGCATTATTCTGGAGTGTCAGGCCTGTGTTTCCTAGTTTTCGAGTGTGAGGCTTTCCCCATGAGTTGTTCGGGCTGTGTATCTGTCTCTAACCCGATAAGTTATCCTCAGACAAACAAAGAATGTGGCGAAGAGTTTCCTGGCTTTCTGACCACATTGCGAATGTGAAGTAGCCAATTCCAAATGCCAATGCTATGCTAGCATTTGAAACCAGTCTTCCATTAGGTCGAGATATGAGGAAAGTGTTAAGGATTATTAAACTTGTCTGGGATTGAACGATTAGTAGCCAAGTCTGTGTTCATCATATCAGTAGCTGTTGTATATGTCATGT